CCTGGGCCACAGAGATCCTATCTCAAAGGCCCAGAAGGATGTCAAAGGGAGGCAGGAGACGGCCTCCCATATGCAGGTGACTCCAACGGTCAGTTCTGGCTTTACCTGATGAGCACAGCGCCTGGGAGGTGGGCCAGGGATGTCAACTTTTGTCCAAGTGTCCTTCCGGATACTGTAGACGTAGAGTTCATTATACATGAAGGTCTGCAGGAAGGAAGTGGATCATCAATGCCACAGATGGCATGCCAGCAGCCAGGAGCAGCAGCAGGGAGTGTGCTCTGCAGGAAGCTTATGCACCGACCCATACCAGTGCAGACAGGCCATGTGTAAGCCCAAAAACTGTCTACAAGGACAAGACAGATGCTCCGGACTTGCCACAGGCTTAAGTCTCAATGAACTTATGAATAGATAAAAATGCCAATTGGAACATGCACTGTGCATGCCTAAGGCACCAAACCTCCGCCCCTCAGCCCAGCCCACCTTAACATGGGCCCAGAACACTAGCCTCACACACCACTATTTCTTAAAGAGCACTGCCCGTCACAGGACAGCGTGGCCGCATCAGCATCCCTTCCCCGCTCTACACTCAGAGCTCACAGAGCAAACAGTACAAGTCAGGGACTGCGTGTCAGTGTGCCGATACAGAAGAAACTCTTACAGGTCAGGGACCGAGTGTCAGGGTGCCAACTGACTCCTCAGGCCCCAGAGCCTCTGCTGCACAGGCACAGCATTCCTGTCACTCGGAACTTAGGGCAGTTTAAGTGCGTGAAAACACAGAAAGCAAGCTGGACAGTGAGATGGCTGGAGCTTGTGGCAGGTGCTGGAGGAGCCCACGCTTTCAACTGCTTTCCTTCTAGACTCCAACTTCACTAACACTTCTCCAGACAACTCTGAAGGCAGGCCTGAGAGCACACCGTCAGAGACTGAGTGCCTAGCATGGACAAAGCTCGGGATGAGCCCCAGCAGCACAAAGCAGAACAAAAGCAGCCCTGGGACAGTGTGTGGTGCACACATGGCCCAACGGAGCAAGGCTCTGCTGACTAGAAGAGGCCAGGACTCTTGCAGCAGTGAAGTCCCTGCTGCGGGTCCCTAAGGGATTCTGGTGACTAGTCACGAAAATCCGCCTCAGGCTTGACGCTTAGCATGTGGGAGCACAAGAGGGGGTGACAGGACACATTTATATCACCAACTTAAATTTACTTCAAAGGAGCCCCAAAAGGTTGGGAGAAAAGAAAAACATATACTTTACTTTTTGGCCATTGAAATATTCACCTCCAAAAAGGATTAATTCATCTTTCTCAGGATGAGCAGACAGGGAGGCATTTAACCTGCAAGACAAAAGGCACCAAGGAGCAATGTCAGAGAACATGATACCAAGCTAAGCAGACTCCCTTTCTTCCCTACACCCACCTCAGAGGACAGGGCCAAGACCCACCCTGCAGCCTCCAGCCCAACACCAAGTTCATGCTCACAGAGAGCTCTGGTACTAGGCAAGCTCCCTTAGAACTAACTGAGAAAGCACGCAGGAAGACAGCCAACATCTAACTACACATGGAACTTCCTGACCTGTCCTGGAAGGCTAGGCTTTTGTCTAGTCTTAAAGGATACACACCTTTAATCCCATTACCCAGGAGGCAGAGTCTGGCAGATCTCTAAATTCAGCCTGGTCTACAGAGAGTTCCAGGACAGCCAGGGCTACACAGAGAAACCCAGTCTTGAAACACCCCCACCCAAGATAGAGAAACAAAGTTTGCTCACTTACCGTGGGGAGGGTGGAGGACATGGTGTCTCTGTGACCTGGGTCTTTTTGGCATCCAAGGTCTGAAAATGGGCTATGAGGGCCTCCAGGTCTTCCTGAGGATACAAATATAGCTATACGTGAGACCGCCTAACCTGTCTCAGAGTCAAAGGCACACTCAGCTTTTGTCCCATTGGCTGGACTGGGATCCAATCACATCTGAGTGCTAACATGGATCTGAAAACAGAGAGATTCTGACACATTCAGGAAATACTCACCGTGACACCGGCAGCAGCTTCTCTGTAGGTGTAGATGCATGCACACCCCTCCTGCCAACCAAGGGTTTTCTATGAAGGACATTGCACCCTGGTTACTCTGCCCTCAATGGCCTCTGACAACCTGTTTGGCCTGCCTTGCTATCTACATAGCTGCGCCTGGAATTCCTCTTGCTTACTGGTTTCCAGCTCCTATTCCCATGCTAACACAGGACCTCCATGAGAACAGGCCTCGAGTCCTTTAGACCAGTGCCTGAATGATGGGGTCAGTGCTGACCTGGGGTCCACCACTCGACAGCCCCTACTTCCCAGCCATCACCATAGACCTGGACACTAAGGAAAAAGCATGCTGGACATCGCTGAGACCGAGCCTTTCCGCACCCACACAGCGCCTACTCCCCTGAGTTTACTAGGGTGTCCTAGTTTGCTTTCTATTGCTGTGATCAAAAGCAACTGGGGAGGAGAGGGTTTATCTCATCTTATAGCTTATGGTCCATTGTGAAAGGAAGTTAGCACAGGAACCCACAGGAAGGCAGGCAGGCGGTGAAGCAGACACCAAGGAGGAAAGCTGCTTACTGGTTAGTTTTCTGAAGCTTGCTCAGCTTGCTTTCTTAACAAGCCAGCGCCACCCGCCTAGGTATGGGTTAGATTCCCCAATAGCAATCAATAACTGAGATAATACCTCCCACAGATTTGCCTGGAAGGTTTTAAAATTTTTATTATTTCATGTGCGTAGGCATCTTGCTTAAATGTGTGTCTGTGGACCATGTGCGTGCCTGGTGCACAAAGGCCAGACAGCTGTGAGCTCCCAGGCGGGTGCACAGAAGCGACATATGCTCTTAACAGCTGAGCCATCTCTCCAGCGCCACACAGGCCAATCTTATGGAGGTACTTTTTAAACTGAGGTTCCCTCTTCCAAGGTTATGAGGATGGGAGCCCAGGAAGTCCTGTGCCTGGCAGACCACTGAGCTAACCTTAGTCATTATAGCTGCCTCCATAGTTTTAGGTCAGAAAGACCTAAGACAACAGCAAGCATGGCACTTAGCTGGAAGTTCAACACGGATCACCTGTAGCTCCTGGGATAACGAATGCCCTTGAGGATATGACAGTGACGGTCACAACCAACTGTTATGAAACACCACACAGTTCCAGTGACTTGTTTGGTGACTAAATTCTACTTATACCGCCTGCTGCTGGTGGCACATGACTTTAATTCCACCACTCGGGGGGCAGGAGCAGTGGGAGTTCTCTCAGTTCGAGGCCACCCTGGTCTACAGAGTGAGTTCCAGGACAGACAGAGAAACCCGGTCTCGAAAACGAACAAACAAAACCCTAAAACTACTTATGGCTCACTCCCTAAAGCTGCTGGAAGAAAATCTGCTCTCCTTTATGGGGCGGGGACTGTTACGGCTTTATTCCTGGAACGCAGACTTGGACAAGGCAGGAGACACTCAACTTCAGTTCTCCGCCACTAAACCCCACCACGCTGCTTCACTCTGCCTACAGTAAGGGAGGCAAGCGGAACCGAACAGGAAGAGGGGGCGACGGGGTAAACGAGGAGTCCCGGGGCTGCAAAGGGACCCGGGACAGAGGGAGAGGCCTGAAGGTGCTGGGCTAGGCGTCCGCCCGCCACTCAGGGACCCCGGGCACAACCCTGGCTCCCGGTCTCCCGCCCGCAGCGTCACGCCGCTCCACGCCCGTCCCTCCCGGTCCCGCTCACCTCCTCCTTCCGCGAGCGCTTGGACACCTTCTTCTCCATCTTGGCGGCCGTCTTCTCCGCGCCGCGGCCCTTCTTCTCTTTCTTTCCCTTCTTGCCCATCGCGCCGGTTGTGAAGCGGCAAGCGGAGACAACGGAAGGAAAATGAATGACGATGTTCTGCCAGGCCGGAAACGAGCGGCGCGCTAAAAGAGGGTCACTTCCTGTCCGTTTCTCTGGTGGTCCGTGGAGCAGCCGACTCCACCAGTGATTTGGTTCCTCCCGCCCGTGCATCTCAGGCCAAGTTAGTCATGTGTCCGCTCCCCGGCAGCACCAGCAAACTGGGTGACTCTAAACTAGACGCGAGCAAGAGGTCTCATTCCGCTGAGGAGTTTCCATGTACTCAGGGATTCCTGACCTGAGTTAAGGCAGCCCCTTTTCCTACACCATGTAAAATGTGCCAGGAGCTGTCAGGCTCTCCGGCAGTGCCTTTGCTCTTCAGCCGGCGTGGCTCCACTGGACCAGCATGTCTCTCCATTAGGAGACAGGAGCTGGTGATGTGTATCTACATTCCCAACGGTGCTTGATTTACGTCCTGGCAAAGACGTGATAGAAAAATATGTTCCCGGGTTTGATTCAAATGGGAGGGACCCGCGGTTTGAAAGAGCAGAGAAAATATGTGCATTGCCTAGAGGGTGTTGTCTCTGAGCTGTAATCAAGGAATGGCACAAAGTAAGGAAGGGCAAGCGAAATATTGGCAAAGGGAACACATAGACGAGGAAATAATCTTCTTTCTCTGTGGGAATGCTGCCAAAGTACAGCCTTTAAAGAAACTGCCTCGGATCAGGCCAACCACTAATCATTGAAGCTCTGAGGAGGCGTGAACTCCCAACTCAGTTCCAGATTTTTCCATAAACCTAGTTCTTAGGAAGAAAAATTACTTGTGAGGAAAACAATGCTGTTGTATAGTTTCTTTTTTTCTTTTTTTTTTTTTTTTCCTGAAGAGATACACAGAAATGCCGGGCGGTGGTGGCGCTCGATTTTAATCCCAGAACTTGGGAGGGAGAGGCAGGCAGATTTCTGAGTTCGAGGGCAGCCTGGTCTACAGAGTGAGTTCCAAGACAGCCAGGACTACACAGAGAAACCCTATCTTGAAAAACAAAACAAACAAAAACAAAAAAAAAAAAACGAGAGAGAGGAGAGAGAGAGAGAGAGAGAGAGAGAGAGAGAGAGAGAGAGAAACAACTTTTCACCCCAAATAGGATGTTAACAAATAAAAGAAATGTGCTATGTGCTCACTTTGGCAGCAGATATGCTAACATTGGAATAATACAGAGATTATTAGCATGGTCCCTGGGAAAGGATGACACTCAAATTCGTGAAGTGTTCCATATTTTTCTTATGGTTTTTTTTTTTTTGAGACAAGGGCTTTGGTTGTCCTGGAACTCACTCTCTAGAACAGGCTGGCCTCAAACTCACAGGAGACCTGCCTGCCCCTGCCCCCCGAGTCCTGGGATTAAAGGTGTATGCCACTGCCAGACTCCGTTCCTTATTTTTCAAAGCTGAAATTGAGATTGTCTTCAGAAAGCTCATCTTGCCTAGAACCTATCTGTAGTGTTGTCCGAGGTGTGCATCCCTTAACAGCCCTACCTCGCTCCCAAAGGAAAAGCCAATCAGGAAGTATTTTTACCATCTAAAAGCCGCTGTTTGTGTGTGTGGTAGTAGGGTATCTAGGCAGAGTTTCGTGAGGGGAGAGAAAATGATCAAATACACACACATATACATATACGTGTATATATACCACACACACAAACAGAAGGATAGGCTGGAATCTCCAGTGAGTGTCTGTGGTACTCCCCACCTCCTTCTGCAAGAGAATACGAAAAGTCCCAATTCTGTAAGAGCCCATTAATGGTCTCTACTGTTCACAATATATAACAGTGTTCCTTCTTCAGGCCTGTGAAAGGGAGAGGATATTCTCTGTGGAAGATTTAGAAAGATCTGGAAGTTACAGGGATTAATGCTTTTATTATCTGAAAGACTCTCTAAGCTAAACCAGGAAGCTCTTGATACAGGTCACAGTGACTCACTGCAGGTTAAAATTTTCACTACTAGGAAAGAAAGACACAAAATAAAACAGCTTTAATTTGTTTTTTCTTTTCCTTTTTTTTGTTTTTGTTTTTTTTTTTAACGACAGGTTTTTCTGTGTAACTCTGGCTGTTCCGGAACCCTCTCTGTAGACTAGGCTGATCTTGAACTCAGATATCCAGTGACCTCTGCCTCCTGAGTGCTGAGACGAAAGACATGAACCACCACTGCCCAGCCAAAACAGCTCTGATATCAAGATGGAGGCAGGAATATCATGCTTAGAGGACAGAGTTCTACAAAAGGAAAAAGAGAAAAGGAAATGGAGGAACCAAATAAAGGCTCTCCTGATCTCCAAGACTGCTTGCAGGAATGGTAAAGGGGAGAAAATAATTACCTGAGCAGAGATAGATAGTGACACAAACTGACACCTTCTACAGTGTAGCAACAAGCTGCACCCTGCCCATTGCTCAGGTGAACCACTGTTTCCTAACACGCTTTAACCTAAAGCATCCCTAATCCTCCTCACTGGTCTGCAAATATTAGGTAACCTCTGAGCACCACCCCACTTCACAAAGCACACCGCATCAGTCAACATTATATGTATATCTACATTTCCTCTTCAGGCCTGTGAAACGGAGACTGAGATTTAGAAAGATCTGGAAGTTGCAGGGATTAATCCTTTCATTATCTGAAAGAATCTCGAGGCTAAATTGGAAAAGCTCTTGACGGTACATGTCACAGTGATTCACGGGAGGTTGAAATGTTCATTACCAGGAAAGAAATGGAACAGAACAGATAGCGTGAGGTCAGAATCCTAAAATAGTGAAAAGATTAAGTACCGAGTTCTATTTTAGTAAAATTCACATCTTTGAAATTTTAATAGATTGTCTTCAAGGTAACGCGTCACTTTCAGACTCCCTCTTATGTTCGTGGCAGGGCGCCCTCTGCTGTCTTCAACTCGAAGTTCGGAGGAGAAAGAAAAGTCCACTAACAACAAAGGACTTGAAGAGGATGCTGACTCCTAACCACCTTCACCACAAATAACCAATGTGATTGGAAGGGCTGAATCACTTCATTTAACATTAACTGGAAGTTCTGCAGCGCGAGGCATCATTTCAGGCCAAGGGCGGCACACCAGAGAGCAGGCTTTCTTCTATCCAGACAGACGAACATATGAAGACATCCGCCAAAGGAGTCAAGTGTAATGTAGGAATGAGAAAGGGGTGGGTGGGGATAGGGAGATGGCTCGGCAGTTAAGAGCACTGGGTCAGTGCCCCAGCACCGACGTGGTGATCCACAACCATCTGTAACTCCCGTTCAAAGGATCTAGCGCCCTCTCCTGGTTTCCTCGGGCACTGCACCTGCAGCCCGTGGTGCATAGACAAGGACATACATATAAAACAGGAATAAATCTTTTAAAAAAGAAAAAGCAGCTGGATGATGGTAGTTCATGTCTTTAATACCAGTACTCAAGAGGCAGAGGCAGGCGGATCTCTTGGTTCAAGGCCAGCTACAGAGTGAGTTCCAGGACAGTCAGAGAGAGAGAGAGAGAGAGGGCTGAAATGCAGAAGTAAACCTACATAACAGATGTTATGTCTCACTTCCTAATTGTTTAGGGAGGGTGTAAATCCAGTTGTGCATTGCAATGAAAGCTAAATTCTTCCACTTTAGAGCCTTATTTAATGAGCTACTATCTGGAGATCCTTATGTTATCCCAGGGCCTAGTGCATGCTAGGCAGGCGCTAGCCACAGGCTCTACCACTGGCCTGCATCCCAGCCTCTCCCTTTGTCTTTTTGTTACTTATGTCTAGTTTCTGCTTCTGTAGTTGGAGAACACACTGTTGCTTCTGGTCCCTTCCAATGTGTCAGTGATTTAGAGGATGTTCAGTGTGCCCCTGGGGTGGCTGATTCAGCCACTGTCTTCTGCAGGTGTCGTGTGTGGTTGATTAACTGATTGATTGGAAGCTCATTGTTTACATCTTCTATGCCCGTAGTTCTCAACCTTCCTAATGCTGTGACTGTTTAATACAGTTCCTGTTGTGGTGACCCCCAACCATACAATTATTTTTGTCCCCTGTGAAAGGGTCATGCACCCCCCCAAGGGATCTGAACCCACAAATTGAGAACCATTGCTCTATGGCCTTATATATTGTTGTTGAATTATTCTACTTGAGTCAAACCCAGAGACGGGAAATATAGTTTCCTACCATAGGAAAGATTTATCCATTTATTCTTTGTAAACAATAAGAATATGCTTAAAGTGTGCACATGTGGCTAAGCTGGAACAGACAGCTGCTAGGAAACAGAAGGGACACACGCTTGCCCTGGCCTCTGGGAGGACACACCAGCTCAGGCTGGAGAATGGAGGAGAATAAGCAGAGAGTTCATGAGCAAGGCAGTTCCAAACTGGAAATCTGTGTGCAAGTGAGTGCACATGTGTGCAAGTGAGTGCATATATATATATATATGTATATATGTACATATATATATGCATGTATGTGCAAGTGAGTGCATGTGTGTGTGTGCAAGTGAGTGCATGTGTGTGCATATGAGTACATGTGTGTGCAGGTGAGTGCATGTGTGTACAGATGTGTCCAAGTGAGTGCATATTTGTGTATGTGTGTGCAAGTGAGTACACATGTGTGCAAGTGAGTGCATATATGTGAGTGCAAGTGAGTGCATGTGCGTGAGTGCATGTGTGTGCATGAGTGCATGTGTGTGCATGTGTGTGTGAGTGCAGTTCTGAAGGAGGCCAAAGGGGACACTAGATCTGTAGGAGCTAGGATTACAGGCAGTTGTGAGCCGCCAGAGGACAGAAAACAGAGCTCAGATCTCTGCATGGACAGTATTTCTTAACCTCAGAGCTATCTCTCCAACCCCAGGTAAGCCATCCTATAAAAAAGATTTATTTATGTATCTATTTATGTATTTATGTATTTATTTATTTATTTAATGTATATGAATACACTGTAGCTGTCTTCAGACACACCAGAAGAGAGCATTAGATCCCATTACAGATGACTGTGAGCCACCATGTGGTTGCTGGGAATTGAACTCAGATCCCCTGGAAGAGCAGTCAGTGCTCTTAACTGCTGAGCCATCTCTCCAGTGCCAGTAAGTCATCTTTTATTAATAAACATTTTTAAGCTTCTTGCCATAGAGTTGCATGCGGTTTCCTTCTAAATAAAAGAATAAGATAACAAATAAAAGAGTAGAATTAAATATGCATCGGCCTATGTGTCTGTTACGAGGCCACCACCACATCTGCAAAAACACTTCTACCCCAAGAAAAGTCCCTGTGCTCTGCTCTAGTCGTCCCCTCTGCATCTCTGTCTCGGGGCACTCACCACACGGGGGCGCTCACGGGCAGTGATTACTTACCATTTTTCAGGACGTTAGAAATGGAGTCATAAAGAGAATGTCTTTGGGGAGGACATTTACGGGACTCTGGCTTCTTTCACTGAACCTGATTGTTTTGAGAGTTACAAGTTTACCTGTGAGTGTTACTGACGGTCTCAATAGTCTATTCTCTCCTCCTCTCTCTTTCTCTCCCTCTCCTCCCCCTCCCCTTCTCCTTCCTTCCCTCTGCCAGCCCCTTCTTGTGATAGGAATCAAACTCAGGGCCTCCTGGATGCTAGACAAGCCCTCTACCACTGCATCGCCATCGAGCCTTGTAAGTTCTCTGTGTGCAAACAGACCGTCCCTATTTATATTACATGTGCCGCTTGTGTGTTTGAGCTGCGAGCTGCTTCCAACTTGAAGGTGTATTACTAACATTTCTGCTTTGAACAATCTGGAATCTGGGCATGACTCTTTTTTTTTTTTTTTTGGTTTTTCTAGACAGGGTTTCTCTGTGTAGCCCTGGCTGTCTTGGAACTCACTCTGTACACTCTGTTCGAGGCTGGCCTCGAACTCAGAAATCCGACTGCCTTTGCCTCCCAAGTGCTGGGATTAAAGGTGTGCACCACCACTGCCTGGCCTCTGGGCATGACTCTCATAGACATGTGCTTTTGTTTCTCTTGGGTAGGTGCTTAGGAGCAGAGTGGCTAGGTCATAGCTAGGTGTGTGTGTGTGTGTGTTTGTGTGTGTGTGTTCACGTAATCTTTTAACTGCTCAACCATTTTTCCAATGTGACCAATAGATATTCTTCACTGAAGAAATAAGCCAATTTGAGCTGAATTCAATGTTAAAAAGGCAGGTTTATTTGGGAATGGGCTCCTGGGTGAGTTCACCAGCCTCAGGGAATGAGAACAGAAAGGGCAGACCTATGGAAGGGAGGTTTTTGATAGACTGTAAGCAAGGCAAAATGA